CCCCAGCTATTCTTCAGCAAGATACTAAATCCTGACTTGCTGTCCAATGTGTTAGCATTGTGTATTAATGAGATAGAAAGCACCAGGGTATAGAAAATAAGTGCCTGTGTGAATGGATGAATGAGGTGTGCTGTACTTTGAGTAGTAACGCACTGTCTAAAAGTCAATTCATAATGTACCCGTTTCTAAAAAAAGTTTGCTTTTTTCTTTTTGCTAAAATTTGTCCCTCTCACTCATCTTACTTTACCTGTTCCTCTCTACAGATGCATTTGCCTCCTCTTCCAGCTCAACTTAATTTAAGGATGCCTTAAATCAAAGAGGACACCTTCACTTCGCTCAAGTTCAGGAAAAAAAACAAAATTGGAGAACACTCTCTCTTGAGAACTTCTATCCAGCCCACCACCTTGATTCTCACTGGACTTATATATATATAAATACTGCACTGAAAAGAGAAAACATTTTATCCAGCTAATGCAAGACACTGTATGTCTGTGCGTGCGTGCGTGTGACTTGATACAATTAATGCTGTAAAACATGTTTTAAAAACATGCAATGTTTTACATTTTATTCTGATATGATGTGATAGCGTCTATAACCAGTTACAGTAGGAACACATTAATACTTTTTCAGTTACATTAAAAATGCCCAATATTTGTATGCAAATGTACATACAAGTGTATTTGGATGTCTGCATTTTTATTCTTTTCAAATAACTTTCATACAGTATAACGATTCATTTTGATGATAAGTACAAAAGAATAACTGTAGTTCAACAATCTTCAAGGACTGAATTATTTGCTTTTACAGTATTCCAGCTAGAATAAATTAATGCATGGAATAGGGTTGTAATAATTAATTGTGTAAAGCGAATAACAGTTATAAAAATTCTCCAAGTATTTTTATTTATTTTTTTGCTTTAATGTTTTGTTTGGTCCGTAACTCTGTTGTCACCATTTAAATAGTTTAACTTAGAACCAGAGTCTTCCATTGCCCACATGTGTATAGATAAAAAGGTGGAGCTGTATCCAAGACTGAGCTCAGATTGCTTTAGTAACATTCATAAGCATGAATAAAATACACTAATTACATTGCACTAACAGTTTTAATAAAACAAGCTTTTGTTTTTCACAAATCATTAAAAGTATATTTGGGTCAGTAAAACCCTGAGCCACTGACCTGAGGCTGTTGGGTTGGACTGAATTATTGCCAGCATTATTTATTAATGTCTACACAATCGGGATGCCTGTTTTTTGGAGCAGGAAACATTGCGTTGCAACAGGACATACTCCAGTTCTGAGAATGCTGATATACTTGCTTTTCTTCATTGCAACCACCATGAAATCAGCCATTCACAGACACACTTAAACATGCAGACACATGCACAGAAACCTACAGTTCAGCTGGAAAGTATTCACAAGTTACAGCCTTATTCCAAAATGGATTCAATTAATTTTTCATCTCACAATTCTACGCATCCTAATTACATACTTTATAATTACAAAGTGAAAAAAGTTTGCTTGAAATTCTTGCAAATGTATTAAAAACGAAACACTGCCTTTTCCATGGCTGCTGCTGGCTGGTTCAGGAGGCTTGGCTGATTTCCCGAGTGTTGTCTTGGACAACCTGTCTCCAGCTCCACCTGTGCAGTCTCCTGGGGAGGGCGACGGTGAAGAAGGGCCCAGCGTGGATCTTAAAGACAAAGTAGAGGAACATTTTAAGAAGCGTTTTCCTTCTAAACCGCAGACTGACGAACTAGTTCACCCGGTGTGTGCTGACTGAGATAATACATGCACATGGGGAAACAGGTGGCTGACGCTCTGAATCAATTCCTCATTCATAACAAAGTGCAAAGATGAGCAAATTTTGTAAATTGAGTAAACTTACAATATATAAGGATGGAGATGATAATCAAGTCAGAAATAGTAGACTATAGAACTGTAGACTTGATCTTTCTAACTGTGGTCATTAATTAGTTGTCAGAAAATCAGGTAGTTCCTCTGACACTTTTACCGTATGGTATTTTAGGAATCACTGTTTAAATGAAGCTTTAGACACATAATCATTTATGATGTTGTAATCATTCACACATGAGGAAAAACCCAGATCTTTGAGATTTTCTGATTATCTGAGTGAATCAAGGCTAAACTGATTTTTACAGAACTTTATTTAAAGTGACTTTTTTGTGCAGCTGCAGACAGTCTTTGTTTTGACTACAATGCATGTTAAAATTTGTTCACAGACTGACATTCAGTCATTACATGACATCGAAGTATGTTTTGAAAAGCACAGTGTCGAAAATTTTGTCTAAAACACAACATATTTTCCACTGAAAATCCTCTAAATCAGTTTCAGTGGGACGACCCAGAAGGCATCTCTGTAACATATCAGCAAATTATTTTAGAGTCCACTTGCATGACAGGACAGATACGAAACACGAGGATCATGGATTCAAACCAGATCAGGCCTGGGTTCAGCTCAGCTCCAGGCAGTTTATTTTGTCCGAACATGTACTAACAATAAGGTAGTAAGACCCTGATAAAACGTTGTCTGATGTGGCTGTCAGGAAGATATCATCTGTCAGTGAAGGCTGATATTTAATCAGATCACAAATGCTTACAGTGGGAACATTAAAGCACAATTTTTCTGTAAATCTCTTTATTTCTGCCATTACTCTATAAAAATGGTCATAAACTACAGTGAACAGCTTTTTTTTTTTTAAACTGCAGAGTCGCTTGCTGTCTTGGGCAACTATCTAAGATTCATCACTGAAGTGTGTCTGATCTGTTTCTCCAGATTTTTATCATCACTTTCTGTCTGTCATCTTGCAACTCTGTGTTCAACATTTCTGTTCCCATTTCACATCTTCTTCTTTCTCCAGACTTTAAGCATTTACCAGAATGGAAGTTTGATTACAGTCTACCATGGAGAGCATGTGAGTCCAAATGACTTTGACACAGTCCTGCTGTTTAAAACACTCGTGGGAGGTACATATAAGTAGACTGTAATGTTACAACATGCACTTTTTATCCTAATTTAGATTTTGGTGTCGCGTTTGTGTTTTTCAGCAAGTAAGCAGCGTGGAGACATCCATTGGAGGGTGAGGAGGGAAAATGATGTTACACAGATGTTACGCTGAAAGAAATACTGTGAATTAAATGAATGACGTGCAGTCTATTGAACCACTTTTGATAGATAAAATTGTTCAACTCTGATTTACAGAATGTTTTGATTAAAGTATTAACCTATCCTAAAACCTGACCTTCTTCCTCCAATCAAACAGTATGAAAATTTGGAGGACTCAATGACTGATGCACTGATGTCCTTTCTCATAAGTTTTGCTTATCCAGCGAGAATGTGAAGAAAAACCAGTAGCCTTGTGCTTATTGTCCCACCCACTGTTTCCTCAGGTGTCAGGGGTTGTGCAACAGTTAATGGGCGGTGTTTTGCCATTGCAAAATCATAACATTCTTTAATACAATGTACTTGTGTTTTAACGCACTTGTTTGGACATAATGTGGCATAAATGTTTTTTTAAAACATGTCTGGTTTTAATTACTCAAATTCAAAACGTTTCATCCTCTACCAAATTTCACAGGTTTTATTTACAGGTTTGCCACCGGGTGGTGCTGTTACCACACTAAATGAGTGTTACTGTTTATGATTCAGGATGTTCCACCGGTCACACAAATTCAGCTGTGATATGCTTTCCTTTTAAAGTTTTCAGACACTATAATAAATGAGTAGCTATATGTGAACGTGGCCCAGAAAGGATACTGGGACAAAGCCAATTAAACTCAAATGCTGCCAAATCATAATGATAATGCCATTCCTGAGTTTCCATCTACTGGCAACCAAATATCTCTAGATCTTTGTATGATGAGTGATGATAAACACTAGATCGTAGTGTTTAGTCACATTAGTCAAACTTATTTTATAATTGTGTCAATATTTAAATATGATATACAATAGGATCAAGTGTGTGGTGTTTATATGTAGTTTTAATGATCCTCAGTACTGCAGATTTAAAGCCTGCGATATATAGTGGGACAAAAACCTGTTTAGTCAGCCACTAGTTGTGCAAGTTCTCCCACTTAGAAAGATTAGAGACCTGTAATTTTCATCATAGGTATACCTCAAATATGAGAGACAAAATGAGAAAAAAGAAAATCACATTGTTTGATTTTTTTAAAGAATTTATTTGCTAATTATGGTGGAAAATAAGTACTTTGTCAATAACAAAAATTCATCTCAATACTTTGTTATATACCCTTTGTTGGCAATGACAGGGGTCAAACGTTTTCTGTAAGTTTTCACACACTGTTTCTGGTATTTTGGCCCATTCCTCCGTACAGATCCCCTCAAGAGCAGTGATGTTTTGGGGCTGTCGCTGGGCAACAGACTTTCAACTCCCTCCAAAGATTTCCTATGGGATTAACATCTGAAAACTGGCTAGGCCACTCCAGGACCTTGAAATGCTTCTTACGAAGCCACTCCTTCATTACCCGGGCAGTTTGTATGGGATCATTATCATGCTGAAAGACCCAGCCATGTTTCATCTTCAACGCCCTTGCTGATGTGAGGAGGTTTTCACTCAAAATCTCACGATACATGGCCCCATTCATTCTTTGCTTTACACAGATCAGTCATCCTGGTCCCTTTGCAGAAAAACAGCCGCAAAGCATGACGTTTCCACCCGCATGCATCACAATAGGTATTGTGTTCTTTGGATGCCACTCAGCATTCTTTCTCCTCCAAAAACAACAAGTAGAGTTTTTATCAAAAAGTTCTATTTTGGTTTCATCTGATCATACGACATTCTCCCAATCCTCTTCTGGATCATTCAAATGCTCTCTAGCAAACTTCAGACGGGTCTGGACATGCACTGGCAGGGGAACACATCTGGCACTACAGGATTTGAGTCCCTGGTGGCGTGGTGTGTTACTGATGGTAGCCTTTGCTACTTTGGTCTCAGCTCTCTGCAGGTCATTCATTAGTTCCCCCCGTGTGGTTCTGGGCTTTTTGCTCATCGTTCTTGTGATCATTTTGACCCCATGTGATGAGATCCTGCATGGAGCCCTAGATCAAGAGGGATTATCAGTATGACTTTCATTTTCTAATAATTGCTCCCACAGTTGATTTCTTCACACCAAGCTGCTTACTTATTGCAGATTCTTCTTCCCTGACTGGTGCAAGTCTACAATTTTGTTTCTGGTGTCCTTTTGACAGTTCTTTAGTCTTGGCCATAGTGGAGTTCGGAGTGTGACTGTTTGAGATTGTGGACAGTTGTCTTTTATACTGATAACGAGTTCAAACAGGTGCCATTAATACAGGCAACAAGTGGAGGACAGAGGAGCCTCTTATAGAAGAGCATAACTTCGTCTTTATGAAGTTGTGCTTAAGCAAGTGGAATCCATGCACATATTGGGCTAACTTTCAGCTGAATAATAATTCTAGTAATAATTTTCTGACTGAAATTGGCCTTTAAAACAAATATATTTGCCTTTGCATGATTATTGCAGGCAAATCTCTGGCTTTTACTTCTTGTGGGAATGAGCACCACAGAGACGCATAACTAACAGTCTCTGTTGCAAATGTGTGATATTTTTAGTTTCTAATAACAATTAGAGAACCTAAGTTTGCTGAGCTGTCAGTCTGCTACAGTGGTGTCTAAATGTGTCATTGAGGGTGTTCAGTTTCCTCACGTGAGATGCCAGTGACCAGGTAAGGTGATGAAGAAGGATTGGAATAAACACTACACCAGCTCAGACTCTGTGTCTGAGTAGTTTGTGGTTTTGACTGGCTTTTCCTGTTTTCAGAGTTTAGAGGAACTGTTTGCCTCTGTGAAACCACACCCATACCTTAGTGCTGGCTGCACCTACTTTTATTGTGGACACTGAGAGACGTTAGTGGCAGGGAATAGGGTTTCAGCAGTAAGCCACAAGGTGAAGTATGGTCAGAAAAAGTCACTTTTAGTTCTTCTGCACACATTTCTCACTGAGCACGACTGAAAGGGAAGCATGAATGACACTGGAGCAAACGTAGAAGGAGGGAGAATAGAAGAAGCCGGTAGAGATAACAACACAGACATTATCTGCCAGACTGAAAAGAGCCAGGTAAGTCAGCTTTCGCTAAAATCTTTCAGCTGCTGTTATGATATCATGGTGGCATGTCGGCCAAAAGAAAACAAAACAAAAGACAAAGTAAAGAACCAACAAAAAAACCCCACATTTAAAGATTTTTTTTTAAAAGTGCAAGCTATACTTGAAAAAAATCCTCACAATGAAGTTCCAAGTAACAGTGAATGTGAGCTATCCACAAACTTCTTGGAAAACTACGCACAACAAGCTTTGCAAACGTGCCCGTGAACTAACATCTACTATTTCAGCTGCAATTTGTTGATACAAAACTTGTCTAACTGGTTGGCCGTAAAACAAGCTTTAATAAGTAGAAACAGGTTCAGTGCAACATTTCTATAGCACTTCACTGACTGTTACTTAACAGAAAAAAATGGAAAGCACACTTATGTCTACTAGTCTACATACAGCATCCTAAACATAAGCATGTAGTTAAGCACTTCATCATGTTTACTAATAACGTTGATGATGGCTGCATTCCATTCCATTTAGCTGCTGAGGTGATGCGTTCACATTAGCGATGAGTAAAGCAAAGCTTTTGTGAAACAATCAAGCTTTCAAAGCAACTGTGCTATAGTTGTATTAAGGTTTAAAAAGATTTCTCACACTCGTCTCCACACTGACACCTGCTATTTTTGCAGCCTGAACACTGAAAAAAGGCTACTTATCACAGAAAGAAATATATGCACTACAAATAATTATGATCAACATATATTTGGGAAAAATAATTGTTCAAGTAAAGGAAGAAAAATATTGAGATTGTTAAAGACAGCAATCAGTAGACGTAAAGACCAAGGCTAATTCAAAAGCTTAATAGAAAAACATGTTTTTTGGCTTGTGGGTTGTGTTGTTCTACTACAGAATATGTGCATACACAGACTCACTGTTAAACTATGTTAAACTAAGAAATATATAGATGTTCGTCACTATTTAACAACATTTTAAAAATCCTTTCAGAGTTGCTTCCCCAAAATCATCAAGAAACGAGTGTGCAACACCTTTGTAGAAGATTCCTTCAGGTACTGTGACCTCTGCCTTTTGATAGTGACATGTCTGTATTTTAAGTTTTCTTGGTGACGTTTTATGCTTCCACCTCTCTCAGTAATGGTGCATTGTGTCAGTGCGGGGCTGCGAGAGATGACCATGCCTCTGTGGCTGTTGGAGACTATTTCAGCACAGCCATCGTGAACCAGTGGAAAAGTGTGCAGCACTCCTCTGAACAACCAACTGATGCCTTTGGAGAGGTGCAGTTTGCAGGAGCCAGCAAGAGGCACAGCTATGTAGGTTTTTTTCTTCATTTTGTCCCATAACGCTTTATCTCTACAGTTTTTGAAAATGTGAGCACGTTATTAAAGGAAAATTCTCGTAAAGGTGGGTTAAATAAAAATCAAGATAAATCCGGAGCTCTGGTAGCCAGTACTTTGAGTTTTCCTGACCTTCAACCTACTACTGCTACACCCGAGTAAACAAAGTCAGTACAGATAAAGTGACAAGATTAAAACCCATAAGAACTCAATGTTGACACAGGTATCACTGCCACTTTACACCCTTTTTTTTTTTAAACATCGACTTTCCAATAGTTTGCCAGACAGTAAAAATGATTCTGGGCTCTTTTGGGTCACTCTTTCGAGTGTCATTTTTATTTTCTAAGTTTTAATTACAAATTAAAGGTTCAAACAACTGAGGCATCTTTTTAGCTTTAATACTAGATCACAGTTCATTAATGTACAAGTCTTTGGGCATTGTTGACATGTGCTTGTTTCCTTTAATTCATCAAATCTGTAAACTTAGTTCCTGCGCCTGTCATGGAGCACTGAGCCTTCGGTGGTGTACAACATATTGACAACCCATTGGCATCTTCCTCTACCCAACCTGGTTGTTTCTGTTGTGGGTGGAAATAGCAGGACACAGATAAAGACCTGGGTACGGGAGGTCCTCAGACAGGGACTGGTGAAAGCGTCACAAAGCACAGGTAAAACTTTATGCATTACAAACTCGTCTATGATGTTAACAGTATGATTGGAATTTCTGTGAGCTGTTTGCTGAAATATTTTATTGTTGGTTAGCAGATGCCATCATATCTTCAACACAGTTCCTTATGCCATAAAAAATGTCTAAAATACTCTCAACACATGCCTTACCTGAACTTAGTTTCTAGATTTTAAAACAGATTTTAAAAAAAGATGCCCCAAAAAGCAGATTCTGTTCATCTGGACGTAGCATTTTGAGCTTCGAAAACGCTTCCTTACCTGGATAATTGAGAATGCATCAAGATATACAAGTTGTCTTAATGCAGTCACATAAAATTGCGATAATGCATTAAAGTAGCAATTGTACACAATTTTACCCAGCCTCACTGAAAAGTACAAGTGCATCAAAACGAAGCTAAACATGAGCCTGGGTACGGCTTAAATGCAGCAATCTGAGCATCTGCTCCTGCACTGGCCACTGGAAGGAAAAGGACTCCATCAGAGGCCATGCAGCAAGCAAAATCTTTTCTCGGTGTAGAGCTATAGTTTTCAGTTACCTCTACAGGAAAAATCAAAACATGGATATGGAACAAGTTGACCAATGTGGCACAAGGCTTCATACACCAGAGAAGAAAGCTGGTAATTGAGCAGGTCCGACACCAATACAAAGTAAAAGGATCCACAGAAGCAAACTCACAGTCCAACAGGCCAACTGACTAACCTGGAACACAGTAAGCTCACCTGGAAGGATATCTGGGAAATGGAAGGAAGCAGACTCAGAGCCAGCTATGATGTCCATTCAACAAACCAAAACATCAGTAAGGAAGAGAAGGTCCTATGTGTGCTCTCTACCAAACTCCGGCAATTCTGAGGCATCTCCTTTATCTCAAGGCCTTTACACCTGGAGGCTGGAACTGCCAGCAATGCACTCACTCATCCAATGTCTGAACTGCCAAACATAATTTCCGTTGTGAGAGCAGGAGAATGTCTGGTGACGTTATCAGCAAGAGTATGCACAACCCTCCTTGACCCTGGACGTGCAGGTAGAGCTTGATCACAAACTGCTCCTTCCAACAGAGATAATAACAGCTTATCTCTGGCCAGACCCCATCTTG